CAAGGGCGTAGAGGCAGTCGTGGTGCGACGTCATTAAAACGGACCACGGGGGCAGAAATGCACGGCGAGTGTCAGTCAGTGAGGTTCGTAAGGTTCAAGACTGGCTCCACTGCATGCAGTCTCGTGATGAGATGACAGCAAAGTGCCAAGGACCAACCAAGTGTCAGCACGTCAAAAACGCCTACGTCACCATCAAAGTCCTTTCGTTGCTTTGAGACGAAATCGGTCGCCTTCGGTGCAGCGAAAAGGAAATGACCGTCGACTCATGAAGCAGGCAAAACTTAAGACACCAACGCCTCAAAATCACAGAGGCTGACATATTTATCGAATTTTCCACAGACAGGACTGAAACAGAAGAGCAACGTCTGCAGGTCGCGTGTTGCGCCTTGTGTTTATGCCGTTCTCTAAACTGTGTCGCACGAAATGCTGCCTAACAGTTAGGTGCATGCAAGTTTCATGACTACGTTCAAGTGGGTGACGTCACAGTAAATCGATGCGTTGCTGTCAACATCAATGAGAAGCGGAAGCGTCATCCTCATGCCTTCTGAGACGATATAAATTTTACTTACTTACAGTTTGTTCAACGACGCTTTTTCAGTAACTCAGACAAGACACCGTCCGACGATACAGACGAGCGTGCAGCGAACCCACACGTGGTTCATGAGATTACTGCAACCTCGTTCTTCGACTTCAGCTGCCGGAGTCCAACGTACAACTTCGGCTTTCGGATGTGATCCGCGTCGAATGACGAGAATTACCCAATGTCTCGGCAAACTCTACACTTGCCATCTTAAGGTTCATTACGTAGTGCGACCAACCAAATGACAAAAGGGCGGAGTCCTGATCTAGCGCGATTATCGTTAGACGAAACGTAAGCACGACTGGAAATGGCGAATAAAGTAAAGTTTGTCCCACTATACGCCATGTAGGCGCTTGGGGTGAGAGGAGGTATAGCTCCTCCCTTCCTTGACCTCGGCACTAGATGGGGGTGAGTGGGAAATGGCGAATGGTGCCCCATAAACTATAATGTGGGACATACTTACCCTTAACGGGACTGTCTGTCGTCTTCGCTGAAGAGGGTCTTCGTGTGTTCAGACTAGGGGCTGCTGCAACCGGTGGCAGGATAATTCAATCAAACAATTTTACCCCTTACGGAAAGAAATGTCGCGAGTTGCCTGACTCCTAGGAGAAACGCGACAGACAGATGTTGAAGGGCCCGTAAGGCTGGAGCGTCGAGAACATTTAATAATTTCCAAAAATGGCGGAATAGATTTTCAGAACACATTCCGTTTTCGTAAGCAAAGCGTGACCCGCAGCCATTTGATGCGTGTGCATTCTTCTTCGTGTCCTCACGACCTGAGAAGGCTATACTCCAATGGAGTACACATAATTTCAACTGCGCCCGCCAAACGTGGCGATCGAATGGTTAGCACTCCTGCTTCGAATTCGGGAGGATCGGCGTTCAAATCTCGGCCCAGAGATCGTCTATCTTGACTGTCATTCTTTTCTTCAGTCTCTCCACACAAACCTTGAATTAGACCACCACTTCCTTTCACATCCTTTCCGATTACTTATTCACTGTCATCCTCACATTCGACGCTGTATAGGCTGATCTACTAGTAAGAGAACGTCGTTAAATAAACTAAATAAATAAATTCAAGTTCGCCCTCCTCTATTTTACGTATCTCGGCGTTCACGTTAGTTCAGTGCAGATTCAAACGTAGTACAGCAAAGCTTGTCGTCGTGCACTGAGTTACAAGTTACTTCCCACGCATTATTTTGTTAAATATAAAATTTATCCAAAAAGTTTCGAGCGGGCGTTGTACATCTTCAGGACGTGCCGTTCTGCCAACTGACCGACGCCTCCAGACTGGATTCAACCGGTCTCCGTCGATCGCCGTGAAGTAAACACGTTATTTGCCACCTGATACAAAACCTGCGTCATGCAGCATTCGAAGGCCTTCAATGAATGTCGTAAGTGTAATTCACGTGTCACGAAACAGGGCTCGCTGTTTGTGATTTAAATTATCGACGCGGACATGTCGCAACACAAAATACGAACGATACGCGGGCATTAAGACTGCCAAGGTCACGTGGCATGAGTCCTGGGTTGTAGCGCCATTTAGACTCGCAGACATTTACCAACATTTCATAAGTGTTTGCTGCCTGCATCATCAGGGCTCGAACCCATGTACTGATGGGTCGTGAATCCTGCTAACCACTAATGCACACCATGCTGAATGGTGTGTACTGGATTTATTTTATTTATTTAGTGTTCTGTCTGACGACAGGTCCATATGAACAGGATCCTTCCATCCTTTTCTCGGACTGGGACCTGTTCATATACGTTCTTGGCAGATGATCCAGAAGTGATTTGCCATTGCCTTCTTCTGAAAAGAAAATCATCAGGGCGATGACGACCTCTGAAACGTCGATGAACTTCTACCTCCTACCACGTAACTCTGATAAAATAATCAACCGCAGAACGGATTCCTCCAGAACGTGAAACCTCTGCAGGCCTATATAGTTAAAAGACAGAGCACTGTAATTACTTAATTTACGTGCGTACGGGCGTGAAACGAGGTCTCTTATATTGATACCAAGAGTAAGAAAAGTATTTGGATACATAAAACAGGCGACGTTACAGGCGACTGAAGAAGGCGCAATTAGGAGCTTCGTTGTTTCTGCGTCTTACGAACAATGACGGATGGACTGACAGGACAAGACACAGAGCAGAACGTGAAGTGCGCACTAAAACCGACAGTGCGGAGAAAATCACAAATTCGAAAACCGAGGCGCAGAATTTTGAAGAAATGGGGTCTAACTGTGTGAACTGCATTCAACTGGCTCACCACAGACACCAGAGGCGGGGTGCTGTGTGTGTGTGAACTCGGCCAACGACCCTTGAGCTCCGTACAAGATTGCAAGCTACGTTATCGTTTTATTTCTTTTTATCTAGTTAAAATGTAATTTAATTGGTAGGTTTAGGCCTTCGAACCGCGGTCTTTCACTAATTACAAAGGCCTAAGATTGACAGACGCCATCTTCTTGTTATATAACGACTGACTTTCGTCACGGATGTGCTTGTTACAGCCGTTGCCATGGTAACGCTGTTAAGGGGAATGTCGATATCACGGTTTGCAACACTGGCCATTACGAAAACTTTATCGCCTTGTGCTGAAGTGAGACGGGAAAGGTAAGGTGCATGGCGAGTAGGTAAGTTTATGACAGGGAGCCATCATTACTCGTTTCAGCGTTATATCCCTCGAAAGACTTGAGAAAATCACGAAAATATCAGGAAGGTAGGAGCCGGCGTTCGAGATACAGTGAGGATATTTTCTGCGCCTCGGAACCTTAAAACGATAGAAGAATGGCGACAAGACCAAGGCTGCCTGTTTCGGCGAGGATGTGGAAGCAACAAAGAAAAATGCCTGGTGGAATCCTCTTACCAGGTAACAGCTTGAACGGACATGTGAAGGCCTTCCTCCACGACAAAAATCACGTTAGTGTCAGTGTTAGTACATGCCCAATCACAGTTTATATCACGCATTCCACTATTTCTATCTGTGCCCTTCGTAAGCAGAAATCGTCCACCTATCAAACTCAGACTCCGCCCTTAGTTACCCCCCCCCCCCCCCCCCCCACCCCCCTCCCCAAGAGTAAGAAAAGTATTTGGATACATAAAACAGGCGACGTTACAGGCGACTGAAGAAGGCGCAATTAGGAGCTTCGTTGTTTCTGCGTCTTACGAACAATGACGGATGGACTGACAGGACAAGACACAGAGCAGAACGTGAAGTGCGCACTAAAACCGACAGTGCGGAGAAAATCACAAATTCGAAAACCGAGGCGCAGAATTTTGAAGAAATGGGGTCTAACTGTGTGAACTGCATTCAACTGGCTCACCACAGACACCAGAGGCGGGGTGCTGTGTGTGTGTGAACTCGGCCAACGACCCTTGAGCTCCGTACAAGATTGCAAGCTACGTTATCGTTTTATTTCTTTTTATCTAGTTAAAATGTAATTTAATTGGTAGGTTTAGGCCTTCGAACCGCGGTCTTTCACTAATTACAAAGGCCTAAGATTGACAGACGCCATCTTCTTGTTATATAACGACTGACTTTCGTCACGGATGTGCTTGTTACAGCCGTTGCCATGGTAACGCTGTTAAGGGGAATGTCGATATCACGGTTTGCAACACTGGCCATTACGAAAACTTTATCGCCTTGTGCTGAAGTGAGACGGGAAAGGTAAGGTGCATGGCGAGTAGGTAAGTTTATGACAGGGAGCCATCATTACTCGTTTCAGCGTTATATCCCTCGAAAGACTTGAGAAAATCACGAAAATATCAGGAAGGTAGGAGCCGGCGTTCGAGATACAGTGAGGATATTTTCTGCGCCTCGGAACCTTAAAACGATAGAAGAATGGCGACAAGACCAAGGCTGCCTGTTTCGGCGAGGATGTGGAAGCAACAAAGAAAAATGCCTGGTGGAATCCTCTTACCAGGTAACAGCTTGAACGGACATGTGAAGGCCTTCCTCCACGACAAAAATCACGTTAGTGTCAGTGTTAGTACATGCCCAATCACAGTTTATATCACGCATTCCACTATTTCTATCTGTGCCCTTCGTAAGCAGAAATCGTCCACCTATCAAACTCAGACTCCGCCCTTAGTTACCCCCCCCCCCCCCCCCCCCCTGACCATTGTCGTCTGTATTTACTTCACGTCGCTACAAGTCAGTACAAGGAACGTGCCCTGACATCTGCTACTTTGAAGCCGTCTGCTAACGGCGTTCCACCGAAACAAATGACAAGCTACTAAGCAAACATCGCAAAAGGAAGTTTCCGGAGGCCGCATGGAAAGAAACAGCAAACTAGCATCAGCCGTAAAGGATATTTTTATTTGAGGTTGATCGGGAGGAACATTTTGTAACATCTGACTGCAGCGTGGCGTTTGAGCGGTGGCGACATTCTCCCTGCCCAAATCGGACGTGCGCTTTAAGAAGTTTCGCTGCTTATTGACGAATGGCGCCTCTCAAACTGTCGGCACGCGTTGTGATTGAACGAACATTCGAAGTGAGAAAGCTTACGGACAAAGCTCTAATGTGTGTCCTGTAGTCGGAGCGATTGTGTGCGTTCTCCTGACGTTACTCGCTTCTGGGCAGAAGGAAAACGAACACATTCATCCACAAAGTACTGCAGCGGGGAGGTAATGTTTAGAGCAGGGGTGGCCAACCCAAATGATCTTTCGGGCCACTTTGGAAATGCATCATAACTCCGCGGGCCACATATAAAATTATATATCCCCATATTAGATTTAGATACACTATAGACA